AATAAATAAAAACCAATCAGAACAGGCAAAGAAGGTCACTGTGTATTAAGGAAACAATTCAACAGGAAGAGATAACAATCATAAACATATATGCACCAAACACCAGCACACCCAACTTCATAACACAAACACTATTGGACATAAAAACAGGCATCAACACAATTATAATGGGGGACTTCAATAGCACACTGTCACAAGTAGACATCAACTACACGTACACACACACACACACACACACACACACAAGAATCAGAGTTAAACCAAACCTTTGAACAAAAGAACTTAGTAGATATCTACATGAAGTAAAACAGAAAACACATTCTTCTCAGCAGCACATGGAAGTTTATTCAAAATGCTAAGCTAATGCATATGTAAATCATGCTTAAGTAAATGCAAAACAATTGAAATTATCTATGCATATTATGAAATCATAATCACTGAAACTAGAAATCAATGTCAAAAGAAATCAAAGGGTTTCTGACCGTGTGACCATGTAATACACACACACACACACACACATATACACACACACATATTTTACAGAGCCTTACTACACAGATCAGACTTGTAGTGATCCTCCTGTTTTCAGCTTCCCAAGCCCTGGGATTATAGGCATGCTACTATGCCCAGTCTCAATTGCCCTCTCGGTGCACTCAAGGGGGTAGGGCCCATACTCAGCATGCCGGGGATTGAACCCCAGCCCTCTGTCTGCCTAAGCAGGCCCTTTAATCCACTGAGCTATCTCGCCAGCCTTATGCATACAATTTTCTTGAAAAAAATCAATGAGTCGCAGGAACCAGGATTCGATCCCTGGTCCCGCATGCCATGCTGGCCCTGCCCATGGGGTACACTGAGCCAGCAACTGAGTCTGGGCATGATGGTGTATGCCTGTAATCCCAGTGCTGGGGAGGCTGAAAACAGGAGGATCACTATGAGTCCAAACTGCTTAGTGAGACCCTATACCAAATACAAAAATGAAAAAAAATCAATGAGTCAAATAGCTGGTTCTTTGAAAGAATAAACCTTGAATAATCTTGTTTCAATCTGATAAAAAGTCACTTTGCAACAAACCAAAGGCCAACACCATATTAAATGGGGGAAATGAAAACCCTTGTCTCTTTCTAAAATCAGGAAAAAGAGAAGGATTTCTGCTGTTATTGCTACTGTTCAATATAGTTCTCAAAACATTGGTAAGAAAAAGAAATAAAAAGAATACAAACCAGAAGACACCTAAACTAGCAAAAGCAATTCCGGGCAACAAAGGCAAGGCAAGAGGAACCACAATCCTGGACTCTGAGGTATACTACAAAGCTACAGTGTTAAAACACTGTACTGGTGTTGGAACAAAAACAGATACATAGATCTTTGGAACAGAATAGAAGGTGCCAACAAAGCTGCAAGAGCATTCGGTTCCTTGAGCCTTACCAAAGGGGGCCAAATCTTACACAGGAGGAAAGACAGCCTCTTTAACAAATGGTGCTTGGAAAACTGGACATCCACATGCAGAAGACTGAGTCTAGATCGTATGTCTCACCATGTATCATCCTAAAATAAACATGGATCAAAGATCTAAATATTAAAACAGAAACACTTAATTTTCTCAGAGATAAAATAGGTAAAACTCTTGAAGGCATAGGCATAGCCAAGGACTTTCTGAACAGAATCCCAATTGTACAAGAGATGACAGCAAGAAGCAACAAATGAAACTATATCAAATTGAAAAGCTTCTGTGCAGCAAAGGAAAGAAACCAACGGAGTGAAGGGACAACCTAAAGATTGGGAAAACATTGTACTGGCTATTCCTGGAAAAGACTAATATCTAGAAGATAAAAGAAACAAAAAACAAGATATGCCCCCCAAATAGAAGACCCAATCACACAATGGGTCTTTTGTAAAATGTAGAATTCTCAGAATAAATACAATTGGCCAGTAAACACACACACACACACACACACACACACACACACAGAGTGTCTTTGACCATTAGAGAAATTCAAATTAAAATGACATGGATATTCCATTTTATTCCAGAAAGAATTCCTATCATCCAGAAAACAGATAACACACACACTGGCAAGGCTGCAGGGGAAAAATAACCCTTCTATATTATTGGTGGGGATGTAAACTAGTACAATCACTACAGCAATCAATATAGAGATTCCTCAAAAACCTAGAACAACAAATTCCATTCAATCCAGCTACTCCTCTCCTAGATAGCATTCCAAAAGAGTTAGTCATTATATTACAGTGATACATGCATACCCATGTTTATAGCAGCACAATTCATAATAACTAAATCTTGGAAATGACCTATATGTCCGTCAGCAGATGCACAAATAAAAAAAAAATGTGGTATTTGTATACAGTGGAGCACCATTTTTCCATAAAGAAGAATAAACTTAAGTGCTTGGTAGGAAAATGGACGCATCATGAAACCATAATGTTAAGTGAAATAAATCAGGTACACAAGCTTATATATATCATGGTTTACCTCATATAGACCTCAAATATAATTAAAGAGTAAAATAAAAGATAGATACAGTAATGGAATATGGAAGGGGCAAGAAAGAAGGGGGAGAATGTGGCAAAGAGAAAGGCAAGGCAGAGAACACAAGAGTTAGGATTAGTTACGTACATGAACCGATTCTTCATGGTGAACGTAATCTTTAGTACTTTAAATGTTACTGATAAAAAGTACGAGTTAATGAACACTGTCAGGGAACACAGTCCTGTCTACCCACCGGCCTATCTGGGGATCTAAGGCCCACAGCATGCAAAGGTGAGAGGATGAGATGGGACCCAGGAGAGGAGTGGGGCTGGTGCAACTGCAGAAGCCAGCTCCAGTCTGGGACAGGAAGTTGAGGGAACAGTCATCAGAACCAGGAACTCTGTGAGGGAGTTCCCAGGTTCTAAAGGTGCTGGGTATCAGTGGAGAACCACATCCAGTGGATGCCAGGCAGAAGGGTCTGTGCTGTAACTGTGAGTCATCTGTCTGCGCATGCTAGGCTCCCCACAAAAGGGGACCGCCAGGACCCAAGGCTGAGATTCTGTGACATCTTCAGCTATGGGGCTGGGCTCTGGACAGAATCCACTGCAGAGAGAAACACAGCCCTGGGCCGCATCCCTGAGCAGGCCCATTTCCAGGGTCTACACAGAGGTCACCCACGAGGGCACAGGGCCCCTCTGGCATGCTAGATACAGGCCAGGGTGCTTACACACTTCATGGCCCCATCTATCAGGCGCAGCTTAGAATGCAGTGGACCTGAGTGGGGTCACACCCTGAAGGAAAGGAGTGGAGAACATAAATCTCTTCTTGCAGACACAGCTCCACCTGGGAGAATGCTGGCGACAACAGAAGCGTTTCTCCAATCATGGCACCAACCTAAAATTCCCACTTGGCACTGGGAAGGCAAGGTAAAACCTGTCTTGGCAAAAACTGGAGGTGAGGGCCAGATATTTAGCTCAGAGGAGCAGCAGCCTGCCTGGCGAGTAAGTTCATTTCTGGATACCTTCCCCAAATGAGGTGAAATTAATGAAAAGACTATTGAGTGGAGAGTTCCAGAGCCACCTCCAGCTATGGGGCTCCATGCGGCCTATTCTCTGGTGACTCACAGCTTATGAGCAATCCTCAGATGCCTGATTTGGAGGACTTACTCACCCTGTACAGAAAAACTTTAATGCATAAGTCGAGTGTCAGCAAGTGGAACACGGATTAGCACGTCACCCCGCAGCCTGCCAGGGCCTCTTATCTCTGGCTTTCCAGGCCTGAGGCCCCTCCCACCTGGGCAGGCCTGCACAATGAGTGGACTCTCAGATACTTCTCCAGGAGAGATGTGGAACCAGAAGAGATCAGGTATCAGCTAGACCCAGTCTGGTCCACAGAGGTTGAAGGTGAGCTCCAACACTGAGTAGGACACAGGCTTGAGGCCAGGACTTCCCACTTGCTGCCAACGGAGCTTCTCCATGGAAGCACCTGATGGATTAAGCAGAGAGGAACAGCTGAAAGAAATCCAGCTCCACTGGTGTGAGTGGCCTCTTGTGTGTGAGCTGCCCACAGAGCCAGAGGAGGGTGATCTGAGGAAAGGCAAGGTCTTGAGCAGAGCCCCTGAGGTGAGGCGATCAGTGTTGGGCTCCCTGCCATCGATGTGCCGGCACAGTGCACGCTGGGGTTGCTGGAGGCCTCTTCGGGCTCTCTGAATTAAGGAGTTCCCACGACTGATGGGGTGGGGGGCACAGGGGTGGTATAAATTCCACCAGTTCCGTTTCCGATTAGGAAATAGGCCCTGAGTTAGGGTGGAGCAGGGCAGCACAGGTACGGTGAGAAGCTACTGCTTCTTCCTTCCCCCACCAATGCAGAGGAAATTACTCAGAAAGCAAGTTGATTTTGTCTTAGATTTAAACCCACTCATTGAGGGATTTACCCAGGAACTCCTGAGGGAGGTATCTAGAATTTGTTCAAGATGTGTGGGGAGGGGTTTCAGGCCCTAAAACTGAAACCTCCCCAGTTTGCCTCATTTCCATGACCACCTAGCCAGCGTTTCCTTAAGTCTGCCAATGCCAGGCAGGGAGAGAAGAGGCTGGCGACACAGTTGGCCCTCAGGTTGGCTGCCATCGAGGAACTTGAACTTCCAGGGGCCTTCAGGGTCACCTAGCGGTTCACCCCATTTCCCAGATGAGGAACCTAACTTTCGAGCCTAAGGCTCTGGTCCTGGGTGTGAGAGGGCAACACTCTGAACCATTCGCTGCAGGGCTGATGTCCAGGCGCTTCTCTTGCGTAGAGAAGCCCCTCAGATGGAGGGCTACATTCTCCACGTCCTGGTTAGGATGACTGACTTGTGAGCCAACATACAACACACAGCTGCACCCCCACCACCCCCACTATCATCTGGAGGTAAAATCCAGTGAAGTGGGTCGATTCTCGTCCGAAGGCCTCCCCACATTACCCCAATGTACCAGCTACATGGGAGAAGCGATTTCATCTTGCTATTTTTATTTTGCACTATAAAAAAAAAAAAAACAAAAAACAATCAGTAACACACTGCTTTTTCTTCACATTCACATGGGCTTGAGGAAGTTATTGCCTTTTCCCCTGGAGAAATAACCTAAACTGAAAAGAAGTACCACACCTCAAAATCTGTAAATCCCAGAAGTCAGTAGCTTGAAGATTAACCCCAGGGGCAGGGAGAAAAGTGTCACAAGAAACGAGACACAAGCACACAGAGGGACACACAGGGACACACAGGCAGAGTGACTGTTTTTAGTGCCACTGATCCAGAATGCACGGAGGGCACACTCTTCCCCCCATACCCACTGCTACCACCTTGAAGAGGTGATTTTAGGCTTAAGGTTTGAAAGTTCGCAGGTGACACCAGCACTGCTCCAAGAGAGCAGCAAGGAGGCAGGTTCAAGTAGGAGTAAAAACTATGTGGAAGTCCGAGGTCAGGGAAGAAACCCACAGAGAAAACGACACCCAGAAGAATCGACATCTGGCTGCTTCAGTCAACTGCCTCCCTGGCGCTCAAAAGGAAGCTCTAAAACATTCTAGGGTTTAGACTAGCATATACATATGTATCGTATCCCTACAAACCCAAGGGGTTACTTCCCTGACAAGACAGGGATTAGCTGATGCCCTAAAGCAACAAAGACACACAGACACTGCCAAAGTTCAAAAAATAAGGTGGAAATTGTGCTTCCTTCAGGATGAATTGGCTTGTGACTGCCTTTTCTCCGAGTCCAGCAACTTCTCTCCCCCATGTTGCTGCAGGTATTTATTGCCTTACGCTTGAAATGAAAAGGCGAATTCTGAGGTGCAGGGGCTGGGCGGTCCTGAGAGGGAGGGGTCTGGAAGTACAGTAGTGAGCACACGCTGTGCTACCCTAATGGCTTGGCCTTCCTTCGGTCCCAAGGACTTATTCTCGAGGTCACTCTGAAGTTCATCTGTGCCGCAGCCTGGCCACCACTCACTGTCTCATTGGGGTAGTGTGACAGAGAGAGGGCTTCAGTATTGCACAGGAATGAAATGTCCACAAGCTTGAACAGCATCACAGTTGCTCCTGGGGCTGGCCTGGCACCCCATCCGAGTCTCAGCAGGACGTGGCTGTGGCCACAGGACTCCTGTGGAGGTCTGTGACCGTCGAGAGGGTGGGCACTGGGGCCAGCACCGAGGTAGGGAATGCGCAGTAAGCACCCTGCACATCAGGGCTCAGAGTCTGTAAATGGCCCATAAAGGACGAGCCTGCCGCCTCCCCTTGGTGGGAGGGAGGCTGGGGGGTGGGGGTGGAAGGCAGGATCTCAGACTCATACTGGAGGAGCTGGCCCATGAAACCGAAGTTGGGCGAGATCACGCTCCTCCTCTGCTTGATATACTCGAAGGCCTCCTTCAGGCGGAACTGCTTGGTCTTCATGAGGTAAGCCATGCAGATGGTAGGCGACCGGGAGACCCCAGCCTCACAGTGGACCAGGACCTTGCCTCCCTTTTCCCTGACACAGTCTGCAAGGAAGAAACAAGTGGGGATGAGTTCAAAGTGGAAACTGGAGGCAATGTCCAAGCACAAGAGCTGAATGCTGATATGACCTGGTTACCGTGCCACCAAGCCTGCGCGGGAGTAACAGTCCTATCACATCTGCCAGTCTGCAGCATCCCCGGGTGAGGACAGAGCTTTGGGGTCTCACTGAGGTCAGTCCCCTTGTGACCCTCCTAGACTCTCAAGAGTGCTGGGATTACAGGATTATGCCACCACGCCCACTCTGGGAGTGCCATATTAATTTGAGTTCCACTGATGAGGTTCAAGATGGCATTGGAAAATCCTAGAAATTGTATGCTAATTTTTATTGGGTGTAATATTTTTCTGAGCACAGCCCAGGTTCAAAGGCTGACTTGGAATAGAAATCCTTGCTTCCACAGGTTTCATTCTAATAGCAATGACCCGCCCCCACTGTGGTAGAGACCTTCCGGTCTCCCTGGACATCCTGTCTTGCTGTGCCAGGGCAAGATGCTTGGCTCAAATCCCAGGGTTCGTACAACCAAACAGACGGATAAATGATGCCCAGCCACTAATTATAGCCCTGGCTAAAGGTACACTTACAAGATCGGCAACACAAATGCTTTTGCAAACTGCAACTTGCTCAACAATGGGAGTAACTGCTACAACGCTGCCACCCTAAGTTAGCATTCTTTAGCTCAATATGACAAATGAAGAGCCCTCTCCTTTCTTGTCCTACACCTCCCCAGCAGAACAGAATGCCAGCTGTTAAAAATGGGGGAAGGGTGCAAGGTGAATACAAACCAAACCAAACCCACAAAAAGTGCGGTCTTTCCAGTTCCCTCTCTAGCTAATGAGGAAACAATTACATCACAGGAAGTCAGACATGGCCGGTACTCTGTGAGGCCGTAGTGTACAAAAAACAAAGACTTGGGAAGGGGGAAAACGTCAGCCCTCTTACTACCCTTCACCCACCTGCTCCAAGCTCAAGAAGTTTACAAATGAGTCTGCAACATCGAAAAGAAAATTTCTTAAAGAAAAAAAATTCCTAACAGACAGGAAGGACCCCCACAGTCCCCATTAAACAAACAAAAAAGCCCCAGAGGACACCAAGGGTGGCCTATTAGTGGCACTCCAATTCAATACAAACAAATAAACCTCCCAACAAAAATCACAGTAGCAGTAAATTGGTTCGAAGAGGAGACCCCAGCCTATAGGACCCTAGTCACGTCTCTTGTTCTCTTTCGCTCTTCCATCTGCCTTCCTCTGGGCTGCAGCTTTAGCCAGCCCAGTACCACATCTGTGAATGCAAAGGTCCGGAGTGCACCACTTCCAGCAGCCTCTAGACCTCAGGGGCCTGCTTTCCACACAACCCTCTTCCTCTGGAAGGGGACAGTGCACATTTCCACACAGGGTCCTCTGTCCTTCTCCACTGCAGGGCAGGGCGTCTGGAAAGATGCACCCTGTGCTTTTGAAACACTGGGCTTGGTGGCTGTGTACACAAACATAGGCACAACACACACACACAGGTTGGGGAGGGATGGCTATGAGAACTGGATGGGGACAGGTTTTGTGACCTCATGCAGGAGCTATCTAGGTGATTAAACAACAGGCGGAGAAGGGCAAGGCCTGCGCAGGGACGGGAGCACATGTCAAGGGTTTCCTGCCCCTGCCACAGCCCACAGCTGTGGCTACCTCTCAGGCTCCAAGGGGATCCCCTAGCCTGGGGACTAGGAGGGCACACTTGGCCTTTTGCCTCTGCTGAGTTTCTTGTCAAGACCACACGGAGCAGAAATTGTGAGGTACGTACAGGGCCTACCCTTGGCGAGCGAGGGCCCTTTAATCGCTACCCACACTGAGTAATGACTGCTGTGCCTGACACCTGCCTCTGCCCCCTGAAGTCCCACAGAATAAGAAACAGGAAAATCACATCAATTTCAACAACTCTGCAGGCTGAAGACAAAGAAGGCTTCTGGAATGGAAGACACAAGCACAGGCTGGGACTGCTACTTGCAAATTCAAGACAAAAAAAGCAAGCCAGGCCAGCGCCCCAGGAAAGGGATGGAGGGAGGGGGAATCAGCCAACGGAAACTCCGAGGCCAAAGCCCTTTCGGAAAGAGGGGCCAGAAGCCAAGGCCACACGCTTGAGCTTGTACAATGCAGTAGTGGCAACTGTCTCATAAGCATGCAGGAAGGATGCAGAGATGCCAAATTTCTATGTGCAAAGCACAGAGCTTGAGTCAAAAGCTATCTTTAATCCAAAATTAGCTGAAAATGCAAAGCAAATTGCCTCCAAAGCCATTTGCCAAAACTGTGGATAGCTACAGGGCCCTTGGGGCTCAGTGCGTAAGTAGTGCTTTCTCTGGATCCTTCTGTTTGCTTTTAAAAATACCCCAACCTACGTAGAAGCCCAGTGAGGAAGGCTCTTCCCCCGCTTTCCCCCTGTGGAGCAACACACAGACACGCTCCGCTCCTGTGCAGTGCAGCTAGGAACAGCAACAGGAGCGGCACACGCGATTGTCATAAAATTATATTAATTCATTTATCTTGCAAATTCGAGCTCCTATTAATAGGCTCTCAAGTGGTCCCTTCTGCCTTTTTGGTAGCTGCATCTGTTCTTGGCTCCAACTTTTCATGGGGATATACACAGACACTTGGTTTCTTTCCCCCAGAACACAGCCTTCGTCGGGTCCTCAAAAGCCCAAACTGCATGCTCCATGGGGGCTCCCGCATCCCAGAGGAAGGAGGCTGAACCTACCAATGAAGTCTATTGCTTCCTGGAAGTGGGAGCTAATGTCGGCGGTGTGGCTGTCTTCCACGGGGATCCATTTGTAGTGTAGATGGGCTGTACAGGCCTCCGAGGTCCGGCGGGAGACATTCAGCAGGGCTGTGATGCGCAGGTTGGCGAAGAACTCGCACTTAGATGCATGGTAGGCACTTCCCAGGTAGAGGAAGGGGAGGATTTCGACCGGGCTGCCCTGGAAACATGGATAAAGAACAACCGAGAAATATTGGATTAGCCTGCTCGTTTGGGAACAGAAAAAAAACAAAAACAAACAAAAAAAAAAAAACAGTGCTGACCTATTTGTTTTTTAAGGTGGGAGGTTCCCTTTCTGGTTTCCAGGTAGAGAGAGTTCAGAGCCAGGGCAATTCAGCCAAGAGCGTGGGTGGTACCTTCATCCTGGCAAACTCTCTACCCTGCGTGACTGCCTTGTGACTCAGTGACAGCAAAGCCCACACGGCCCAGAGTTTCGTTTCTTTGCACAAGAATTGCCAGCAGCCTTCCTGCACTAGGAGGAGAGGCCGTGTGGTGCAACAGGAAGCACAGAAGGCTTCAAGTGTAAGGTTCAAGTGTGAGGTTCACGTGCGAGCTGCCCCGAGAGTCGAAGGGCAAGCGCTCGGGCTTGGGCAACCTTGGCTTCTCCAGAGATAAAAGGAAGATGGGTTTGGAAAGGTGAGCTCCCTCCCTTGGACCCCAGACACATGGTTCCTCAGTCATGAAAGCCACTGCTGACCTAAGACAATCCAGTCTTACGATGGTAAATCATGCCCCCACCCCGAAAGCATGCTTCTTAGAACCGAAAATAACTACAACCTACCCAGAATCTGTAGACAGAGAAGAGTTGTTAGACCACAGGCAGAGGGGCTTCCCCCACCTCTGACCTTCACAGGGGGCACTGGGATTTTAAGAGAGGCTTACACTGTCACCTACACATCTCTCGTTAGGAGGATCTAGACTGAGGGAGAACCAGAGGCTGACACCCAAAGTGACACTGAGAACTGCTGCTCACTGGACTCCAGCAGTCTGAACATTTATAGCGTCCACAGGTGCCAGTGATAGTTGGAACAGGAGCTCCCACAGACCCAGAGGAAGCGCGAGGCTGGGGGCACAGTCATGTGCTCTTGGGAGCCCTCATCCATCCGCTTCCTGTCTATTTCCCATCCTGGAATAAGAGCGGAACAGAAACGCCCAGGGAAAGGGTATGACAGGTCATCAGCAGGCAGTTCTCAATCTACCCAGCATTTGCTGTTTGCTTTTTCTTTCCTGGCAAATGTTAAAGCAAGAGCCAGTTCAGCCACTTAGAAGAAAGCTACAGACAATTTTACCCAAAGTAAATAATAACAACTAGTATTTTTATTAGCATCTACAGTGGCTAGCATCTGGGCTTCACACTTCAGAGCAGCGGGATGGCAAACCTTTTAGAACTTTTGAAGGCAACATACAGCTGGCTGCAGCCTGCCCACCCCGCCTTCACCACCACTGCAGTAGAGGTGCTGACAGTGTATTAATTTCACACCGAATCTGTGAGGTGGCTAACATTATTCCCATTATACATGTGGGTGACTTCAGGCTCAGAGGAGATTAAATAACATGCCTGTGTCAGAGCCAGGCAGTGTTAGAGCTGGGACTGAAATCCCAATCTGGGTGTTTACAACGAGCTGGGATGGGGCCGGAGAGATGGCTCAGTGGAAAAAGCGTTTGCCTGGCAAGTGCAGGGGCCTCAGTTCAATCCCTGGTTTCACTAAAAAAAATAAAAAATAAAAACAAGCTGGGAGGCACTACCCAAGTGTATTTCAACAGGGATCAGTCTGAGGAGCCCATATACATAAGTTCCCATGAGAACTACTTTTCTCGTTCTCCCTGACATCTCTCAGCTCCCACCCATCCCAGGCCTACCGAGTACCTTCCCAGTGGCAGCACGGCACCAAGGTTAAATAATTCTAGCACTCAGATGGCTGAGGCAGGAGGGTGGCCGAGTTTGACTTTGAAGTCTGCCTGAACTACACAGCAAGACCCTGGCTCAAACCAACCCAAAGTGAACAACAGGCCAAACCACGCCAAGCAAACCATCACCACCAAACCAAAAAGAAAAGAACTTGGACTCAGCACCGGAAAACAGATCTTGGTCAATTTTCAGCTCCACATGCCCTACCTGGTATGACCTTGGGCAGCTTTGTTGACCTCTGAACCTTATTCATATACTAGAAATAATGACATCTACCCTCTAAGGATAATTGGTAAGACACAAATGAGATAATAGATGCACTAAAACTTGGCACATCATGTAGCCGTCATTTCTGAGGCTGAAGAATAAACAAGCAGAACATGTGCCTTCTCTCCCTAGGGAAGACACAGGGTAAATACAAAGGCCAGCCAATCCCTGTGAGTCTGGCATCGGCCTGAGAAGAACCACTCCTCGGGCCTGCTCCCCACTGACTGAAAACCAGGAACACAGTGGAAGTGGCAGAAAGGGGTCAGAGAGCCAACTTTAGCTTCACTCAGTCACTGACCAGCTACAGGTCCCCATCAACGCGACCAATAGCCTCCCCTCCACGAGCAGGCTGGACAGCTGACTCCAACCTCTGCCTTTCCTGAATGCCTGCAACACTCACACCAGGCTTCAGCTCCGATCCAGCTTCCCCACAGCTGAGCCCAACACGGCCCTGACACTGTCATTTCTTTCCCTTTCTGAGTCTTCCCTTTAGGCTTAAGAGGAAGACACCCCAAAGATTAACTCAGCCTCGCCCGGCTTCTTTCACACAGATGGCTTCTAGGAAGCAGCACCTGGGGGATCCCCAGGACTCCTGAAGACATAGCAGACCTCCCTACCCGTCACTGGGGCAAAGGATCGCATGCTTTCACAACACACCGCCAATTCTTATTTCTCTTTCACTTTCTGAGAAGAGGAAATACAACCCCAACAAACAAAAACAGCCATCTAGCTAGGACAGATGCTCTTGGTTAGGAAGCCACAGGTTCATCATGCAGAGTGAACACTTTTCACAAAGGAACACAAACAGAATCATCACCCTGGCACCTGGCCACACCACCGGGCTTCCTGACCAAGGGTCCCACTCAAGACCAGGTCGACCTGCTTTTTACTTGAAAGTCTGTCCTCAGCGGCAGGGGTCTGGCTGTGGCAGGCAGCTGGCATTTTTGGCAGGATCTAGAAGGTAAGCTTTCCTTCTTAGACTTTGCTATGTTCTTAGTTTTGGAGGCAATCCGAGAAGCTCCTCCCACCAAGTCAGATGGCCAGGCCCGAGGGAAAACTAGGTTCTGAAAGAAACCGAAGCAGGGACTTCGCAGGGGGGTGTTCTGAGCCTAGAGCTGGCAGGAGCTTGCTGCAGGCTTCCCTGCACAGGAGTCCTGCCTGCGTAAGGGCAGTTTTTTCCCCTCGGAAACGGCGAAGTGCATTTGAGCTCTGGTCTCTGCCAGATATGGATTCTCATCTGCCTTTTTTCCAGCCTTGTACATTGTGCTAGAAACCTCTCAAGTTGTCACAAAGTACAATTCTGTGCAGAAAAAAAAAACCCTGATATGTGAGTAGAAACATGAAGCCGCCTAGTGTTTTGTTTTGTTTTGTTGGCAGAACCAGGGATTGACCTAGGCCCTTGTGCTTGCCAGGCAAGCGCTTATTCTACTGAGCCATCTCCCCGGCCCTTGTTTTTGGTTTTGGTTTTTTTCCATTTATGTATTTGGTACAGGGTCTCACTATGCAGCTTGGACTCGTAGTGATCCTCCTGTTTCCAGCCCCCCCAGCCCTGGGTGCGCACCATGATGTCTGGACTCCGCCAGTGGACTCGGCCAACATGTCCTGACTCTGTCACTGGCTCAGCACACCCTGGGGGCGGGGCCAGCGCAGCATGTAGGATGGGGACTCAAACCCTGGTCCCTAACTTGCCAGAGCAAGTGAATAGTCTGCTGAGCTATCTCACCGGCCCCGCCTAGTGTTTCTTGATCTCCTATGAACTATAAGCAACAGAAACCCTCAGGGGCCTGCTGAGCCATCCAAGTGGGAGTTTCCCACAGCATCAACCTTTTCCCAGCCTCGCTCTGTTAAAGATATCAAGAGGACTCACGGTGATAGGTACAGGTTTTGTGCAGAGAAACTGCAAAGCACGGGCAATTAAAAAGAAGCCTAGGAAGCCGAAAAGTCAGTTCTGGAACCTCTTCAAGGAAGCCTCTTATTTTTTCAAAGCTTCGCTGAACCTCCCAACCCAAAGAGTAATAATGTATCTTCACTTCCCCCTTTCTCCAGAAGCTGCCCAGCATCCTGTGGCTTGCTAGTTCTCCTCAGCTTGTTTGCTGGAAGGATGCCCACTTATCCTTGGATGGGAACTGGTGCTGGCAAGCCACACAGGCTTTCAGAGCTGGCGGATGGTGCCAGTACCCTGATCCACAAAGAATGAACCTCTGCTGCCAACAGGGAAAGGTGCCCGGGTGCTGAGGAAGGAAGGGACACAGGAACCGAAAACTACATACCTGGTCATAGGCTGGCCTGTAGCTGATACTCAGCACTGGCTTTCCGCACTGGCTAAGGAGGGCTCTTTCACTTTCGATCTTCTCTTGAGAAATGGGCTTCACGTCCACACAACACTCAGGATATTCTGAATAGAAGGTCTCATATCCCCCTATACAAAAAAAAATACTGTCATGTTAAAAAAAAAAAATCAAGTGAACACTAATACTGATCATAAAAAAATTGAGCAAAATCACTGAACAGCTTTAGACTAGAAGTGAGTTTTATTCACATACACTCTCAGAAGGCTATAGTTGAGAGACGCAATGATTAACTTCTACCTCTCAGCAGCACCTTAAACTGGGAAAGACACTATCTAGCATCTGGCAAATATAAACCAAATCCCTCCAGAAAACAAAACCAATTTTCTCTCTTGCTTATCTAAAATTGGTGGCGTGATTCTGCAAGATTTCATTAATTTACAAGAAGATTCCTAAACTAGTCCCGTACCCCTCCCCCAGTATGCTTTAAGTGGAATTACCAATGGCATCGCACCATCCATTCTTAGAGGGCCCACAGAAGGTTTCAACTCCTAGGGGGTTTCAACTCCGGCAGTAAAACACCCCACCTCCACTCCCGCAGGTGCTGAGAACCTAGGACAATCGCTTCCACTGATGCAAGCATCATCAATCAAGCTAATTACCCTCTAAACAAATGGTAGGAATGAGGATTTCAGAACTTAATTCTCAGTCCCCATTAAGTAAAAACTGTCTGTGTCCTCTGGTGACCAGCCTTTCTACCTTATTTATTACCCTCCCTTCTTGACCTCTGCCCTCCCAGGCCCCCCACTGGTCTCTCAACTACTGGCATGGAAGAACTCTAGTGTTACATTTAAACATTACCTGATAGATTACTTAAAGGTTAAAAATGGCTCCACCACCGAGCTGGGCCTATATAAATAAGCTTTAGAAGGATCAGATGAAAAACTAGGCCTGGCCTGGGGATTCTCAGAAGGCCAAGGGCTTGCCAGTGAAATGCACATAACTTAACCTGGCAATGTCCATGATTTTACTGACTGCACCAGGCTGAGGACATCCCTAGTTCCTGGCCCTCCACCTCCCACCCAGAGCAAACACACACACTTCTCTTATCTGTTGTTGGCCCACACAATTCCCTTGTTGCTGAGCCACCAAGTAAATATTCTTTCTGCGATTATGTCACTTCCAAAAATGAATCTTTCTGTCTTTTGATATTGTGAAGCTCCCTGGTGGAGGGCAAGCTGGCTTTTCTAAACCCCTGCAGTTGACAAATGGTTAATGGATTACATGACAGGCTCCAACTCCCTCCCAGAAGCCAGCAGCCAATTCCTAGAATGAGTCATCTTGCCATTACTGCTTCCTCTCAGCTCGCTGGAACTGCCCCCGCCCCATTTAGTACACACTCCCATGGTCACTTCAGCAAATAGCCCACTGCGCCTTCCCGGTCCTCCAGTGAGCATGCTTCCGGTCATGACACAAGAGGCATAGCTAGGGGGAGGGCAGGAGGGGAGAGGGATAGGCTCAGGTGGCTTAATTCTCCCTCTCTGTACCCAGTCTCCTTCCCTTCTAGGACACTGAAGCAATGGCAGGCGTGCACACATACCAACTCACACCTTCCTTGGTCAGTGAACTACCTGATTGCTTCCCGTATCCACACCTGTCCCATTTTAGGGGTCCATGAGGAAAGACGAGCGATTCGGGAGGGAACTGGGAGCTGGGAGCCGAGGCTAAGCCCTCCCAAACTGTGAGATGAGACTTGGGAAAGAGGAGCTTTCAGGCCATCCCATTGCTAGGTTTTAAACAGACCACTTAAGGGCTAGCTCCTGGGAGGGCATCAGAAGTGTGGATGCAGGGCAGGCAAGGCAGGCAGGGCAGGCGGCAGGGATCCTGGCAGCCTGTTGACAAAATAAGGCAGGCAGACAAAGAGTCTCAGTGCTGTGGAGGGACAGATAAACAGGGCCCTGCCTCTTCAAGCTGGGGTCAAAAGGAGATTAGATGGTCTCCTCCTGTCTTCCACCCACTCCCGCCAGAGGTGTGGAGATAGAACATTCTTCTCTGGTGTCTCACTAGTTGCAATTCTTAGGGCTGCTTCAAGCTTTCTCAGAGTGAGTCTGCTTTCAGTCACCAACAAATTGCAGGCGAAGAGTGGTACGCAGACACTATACAAAAATAAGTGCTGGCCATGTGATTCTAGCATCCTCATCTGGTGGGAGTCTTTTTTAGAGAACTATGGAAAGTGCAAAAGGCATTGCGCCAAGTGCCACTTCGTTAAAACCTGAACTCGTATCTGGACATGTGTTAGATAAGGAGATAAAGGGAATGTCCAGCTTGAATTGTAATAGTGTTGTAAGGCTAGCAATTTCTACTGAACTTTCAAATGCACGTAACTTTTGGCCTGCCAATTCTTAACTGCCCAAAAGATGTCCCAGCACACGTAATAACCTATGACAGAGGATATCTTCCATCACACTGCTTCAAAGCGTAAGGCTTGACTGAAGCGACCTATGGCCACTGCTAGGGGCCATCACTAGGGAAGGAACATGTATGCTCTGATGTGGACAAGTCTCCAAGACGCAGCTGGGTGAAAGAGACTGGAACTAGTATATAATTAATCCTCCCATAATTTTTAAGGACACTTGTGGGAAATTATCTGGAGATGAACAAGAAATAGCTGGTGGATGTCTCTGGCTTGTGCTACTGTATTGTGCTGCGTGCAAGACACACTTCTCCAGGCACAGTGGGGAATGGTTTCCTAGTGTTTATCTTTCAAACTACCGTAAGGCAGAAGCTCCCCTCCCCTTAAATACAGGAGACAAAATCACACATTTCACACCTCCAAAGAGAGGTGGAGAAGGCCTTCCTTCCACCTCCTGGGGTCTGAGGCTGCAGGCTCTATTATCTCCCCAAAAGGATCAACAAAGGTCAGTAAGAGGTGCTAATAGAAAGGAAGCGGCCCACGAGCCTCTAGAATTATCAGAATTATCGTCCTAGTCTGCAAATGTGTGAAATTCCCCAAGCTGCATGGCATCAAACAGAGTCCTAACTCCTAGCTCGCTGCACCTGAATTCTGAATCAGTTACAGCCTTGGGGCTCTGCTGGGGGTGGGGCGTATTAAGCTTTCCCCTATACATTGGAGGCAGAAGCAGTCACGGGAAGTAACCAGAAATCACCGCTATGGAGTTTATCACTCACCCACAAACAGAAAACCAAGTTAGCCCCGCAGCAGGTGAAGCGGGCAGGCGTGGCGGTAGCTGGGGCTACACAACCTCTGCACACCTCTCCCAGGTTCAGGCTGACCCGCCCGCGGTTTCCCACCCTGCCAGACAGTTCACTGGGTTTAGGACCTGTCCCAGGGATAATCCCGGCCCAGGAAAAAGCGAAGGTGAAAGGGATGGGAAAGGTACCGGCTCCAAAATGAGCTTGACAAAGGCCCAGGAGGGGAGGCGAGGAGGCCGGAGGAAAACAATAAAAAGTAATAAAACGGAAGCAGAGAGGAAGGGGAGGGTCTCGCTAAGGTCAAAAAGGCAAAAGGGGACAGCGAAGCCAGCCACTGCAACTGTGTAGGCGGGAGAGGGGGGACACCCCGGCGCCAAGCTCCAGAGGAAATGGGGGCTGTGACCTGCTGATCACGCCAGATCTATCATGAAAGCTCCCAGCCCTGCCCCCAGCGACAGCGGTGACCCCAGAGTCACGCTCGAGCCCGGCACGTGCCCACGGCCCCTAGATCGCTAAGAAGCACCCCTAGCAGTCCAACCCGCCCCACCAGGCTGGCGGACAGACAAGCTGCCAGACGCTTTCGAGGAACGCGGCTGGGGAGGGGGGCGCTCCAGGCGCTGACGTCTGCGGCACCCTCCCAGAGCGCGCCAAACCAGGGCGCGCAGGCTCCGAGAGCAGCGACTCCCCTCGGTCCGGACGTGGGAGGGCGCCCGCCAGGGGAGCGCAGCCCCGGCGTCCCGGCGCAGGACCCGACCGGCGGCCCGACGCGCTCACCTTTGAGGAAGTAGACCCGCGGGCCGGCGGGCAGGCAGGCGAGCAGTGAGGTGAGCACGACGCGCGCGGCGCTCTCCTCGCGCAGCTTCTGCCAGTGGCGGCTGCCCTGGTCCAGCACGACCACCGCCGCCACGCCGCCGCCGCCTTCCTGCAGCAGCCGCGCGCGCGCCGCCTCGTCGGGCAGCACGTAGCGCGCCGACACCGCGCCTCCCCGCGCCCGCCGCAGCACCACCGAGTTCAGGTTGACGTTGAGCGAGCCGCGCACGCTCGAGGCGGCGAACGCCAGGTAGGGCCGGCAGTCGAGCACCACGCAGCGCGCCGCCGCCTCCTTGCGGAGCATCTTGCGCAGCTGGCGCCCGTCGAGCGACGTGACCTTCATGCTGCCCGCGCCCCGCAGGTGCCCGCCGCCAGGGGGCCCGCGGCCCAGCACACAAGGGCCCCGCGGGGCTGCGGCTGGCGACGGAGCCCGGGCCGGAGGAGCCGCTGCCGCTCCTTCCCGCCCAGCACGCTCAGCGACCGACCCCGCCACTCGTCGCCCTAGAAGCCGGGGATTCCTCCGGCAGCGCGGCGTTTTATGTGAATGAGTGAGTGGCCCGTGACGTGACTGCCCATATAAGGCCAAATATGGGCGTCGCCCCGCCCCTCCATCTGGCCACGCCCCCAGGCGGGCGGGGCGGAGCGCGCTTTACTCAGGCCCTGGGGAGGAGGAAGTGGGTGGTGCCTCCCGCGACCCCGCGCAGAGGGACTCGGGCACTCCCTCGCGTGTCACCCCAGCCTGCCGGTGTGCTGTCAGCAACGCCACCGGGCCGCCGTGACCGACGTCGTTTGGGAAGAGGAGGAAGCAGACGAGGGGGCGGCGCGGCGCCGCGCATTCCGTTTTCTGTTTTATAGACGTAGGCTGGGAATTCGGTGGGGGCTGCGCCTCCAGATGAATCAGCTGCGGACCCCGGTGGCCACCCGGGTGTTCAGGCGTGTAAGGAGATGGTATCTACCATTTAACTCTGGGTGTGGGATGGACAGATGTGGCGAGATCAGGCCACGGAAGCTGAGTGATGAGTAGTGGGGAGTTGTGCTACCGCGTTCTCCGCTTTGCAGTCTACTGTGTTTTAAATTTTCCACAATAAAAGTTTCTAAAAGTAAAAGCGGGGGAGGGGGGAGAAGAGCCAGCAGTTAATTTCAAACAATCCTGCCTTCAAGAGGATTGGCAATTCATTACTTTGTCCGCCAGTAGTAAGAATAATAAATGGGGTTTGGTTTTGGTTTCTTGTTTTTTGAGCGACCCTTCTCAGGTTCCTGGGAGACCTGTTGTGAACCCAGAAGTACGTAGACATGCATCTGACTCCAGTCCATGGCTGTCCAGGTGGCTTCTGGATTTGGGGGATTATCTGTGGCTCAAGTATAATCCCTGCCTGCCTGCCCCCTCCATTCCCCAGGAGCTTCAGGCTTCCCACCCCCGTTTCTGGGGAACTAGACACTATTTGCCTTTTCTGCGAGTGTTTGCTGGGGCTTTGCTAGCTGCAGGGACACGTGGGATGGAAATATGTCTTGTAGCCCTGCTGGGCAGCTTGATGGGAAACAGCCTGCCTCGGCTAGAGAGTGGCTTGTGTACAACTGACATGGAACGAGGTTTTTATAAGAAAGCAGAAATCAAATTCTGAAATCGAATGCAGTCAGCCTGGACACCAGAATAGCTGGCTGTGCTTCTGGATCCCTGCTGTCATCATCCTGCCTGTGGGGCCTTAAAGACAGCGTGATGTCAGGTGTTCCTTTTTTCTCCCTGGGGTTATCTGTGCCCTCCTTCCGGCGACCTGCTCCTCCCTCCAGCCTGTCTGTCTACCGACAGTTCTTTCTGCCGCCAGACGTTTCAGCCCAGAGCCATACACACGTGGAGCCGAGAAGTGGGTTGGGTGCTGTCTGCCCCATCTGCCCCCGGCCGAGAAGGGAGACCTGGTCAGTCACAGGGCTCTCCGAGGTTCTGTGGCCAGTGCAACACCCCGGATGTGTGAGGTTAGCCAGGCTGTGAAGAGGCAGGCAGAAGGCATTCCAGGCAGAGGAAACTGCTTGAGGTAAAAGAAAAAACAACCCCGCATGGTATGTGCTGGAGATGCGTGGGAGACTAGCACTTCTGGCATTTATTAGAAAATAAAGCAGGTCAGGTGGTACAGGACCTCATGCATAATTATTTAAGGCATTTTGATCTTATCCTTTGGGTCTTACTCAGTGACCTAGCCAGGTTGGCATTTCAGGACAGTCCTGTGAAGGGTGGATGTTTTATGTGACAAGGGTCCAGCCTGAGCCAGGAAAGGGAGGGAAGCTTCTTGTGGGAAATGTGGGCCCAAACTGAAAAGGACCTGCTGGGACTTGGTGGTGACTACAGTTGCAGAGAGGCCACTCAGCTGGGAGAATTATTTAGCATTACTTAAAAGCAAAATGCCTGAAAGGACGGGATAGGGAGAGAGGAACCGAGGGTGACACCCATGGAAGGGTGATGACTGAATTTGAACTCTGGTGATTGGGTGAATGGTGGTACTTCTAGATAGCAACCCTACGGCAGCAATGGGGAACCTTTTAAAGAGTGAGTGCCCCAACTACAACCCCAAATCCATTTATTTATTGTGAAATGCTAACACTGCAATTAAACCCCAATACGGGGGCTTTAATGTAGAAAAAAGCAGCTGTTAGCTGATGCTGGCTGCTGGGGCACTTCTGCCCAAGTGCTGCCAGGGCTCTCCGGGTGGCCGCTGCGGTGCCCATGCCAGAGGTTCCCACCCTGCCTGTAGCAGCAGGTGGAGGGAGAGACCAGCCGGAGGAGGGTGAAGTTTAGGCATGAACAGTCTAGAAATGAGCTCGGCACCAGGAAGAGAACCCAGCGAGCAGCAGAGTGACTGGGAAGCAGTGGACGAAGCCCATCTGCGGCTTCTTGCTAGACTGTTCCCTCCTGTGCCAGGTCTGTAGGTCACCAAGTCTGGGGACTGCTTTCCAGCCCTGCTTTCATGGGTGTGACTTGGGCCGCCACACAGGCCTTGCACTTAAAGGACCCCTCCCCACTGTTTTAATGCTCTGCTGTTGCTGGCTTGAAATTCTTAATTTTTGTTCAAAGAACCCTGCTTTTCCTACCCTCCCCCACACACATACTCAGGGCTGTACATTCTGTTCTCAGTCCCCCAGCCCTCTTGCTCTCATTCTTGGCTACGTCATCTTCTTAAGCAGTAGAGCTGAGCAAAGAGCTTACCTGTTCTGTTCAAAAACCTTCAATGCCACCTACACACTGATAAAATCCAGATTCCTTGGTGGAACACAGAGGTCCTCATTCTAACCACTTGGCCATAACCCTCCCACCCCACCCCACCTTGTTCCTCCCTCCCTCCCCTCTTCCTGTGTTCAGGAATCCGTCACACAGCCCCAGCTCCTGCTGCACCTTCCCAGAGCCACCCCTCCTCCCTCCCCTCCCTGACAGTTCTCTGTCCTGCTGGTGCCAGGCCACACGCAGTGGCCCATACCTGACCGTGGAGTCTCCCTCTCAGCACCGTGATGTGGGAGGGGCTGAGAGCCGAATGGAATTCAGTGTCTGCTGGGGCTGAGGGCAGCTGGTCTTCTAGGAGGCATCCTGGGAGGAAGCTAGCGCAGCAGGGAGCAGGGCCGCAGAGGCGGGTGAGGAGGTGGCACAGAGAGCTGAGAACTTGAAATCATCTGGGCTGGGAGCCGGGGTTCGTCTCACACAGGTCGAGGAGGAAGGGGATGGTGTCTGAGATCAGAAGAGTGTGATGGCCGAAAAGCTGGGCCTCTCCCCCTACTGCTTCAGAATGGAGGGGGGGGAATGTAAATTAATAGTGTGAGTCTCTGCGGAGGGCCCTATCCTATTAATTGTTCCCTATTAGTTACTGAGAGTGAGGCAAGGATTTTCGTAGAGTCCTGGTCTTCCTGTGACTCTGGTGCTTTATCTTGCAGGCTGCAGCACGGCCACAGGTGCCCCTTTGTAAGTCTCGGCCTCGCCTTGGAAGCCGAAGATGTCCCTCAGCCTCCAGGTTCAGGGAGTTTGCAGACTACAGATTCCTGCGAGCTCCACAGAGGGCCTGCTCCTGGCAGCCTCAGTCAAGGTGCCCGGGCCCTTTCCCCCAGCCCTTCCCGGGAGCTGGGGATGCAGCAGAAGGTGCCCGCACTCTGAGGCCCAGAGCCGCCCCAAGCCCCAGCGCGCTCAGAAGCCTGCGACTTGACCCATCTGTGTCTTTTCCTGTTTGTTTCTTGCTATAAGAGTAGGGCATGCTCATTGTTGGAGATATGGAAAATGCCGAGGACTGAAAAATAATTTTGTTTTGGATATTGCTTTTTCGGCCTTAACATGCTGAATCAAAGCTACCAGCAATCCAGACCTACAACTTGCCTCCCACCATTTTAGACAAAGGAAAGAGCATTGAACTAGGTATCTATAATCAACTCGCTCCAGGTATAATAGCGCATGCTTATAACCGAAGCACGTGGGAGGCTGAGACGGGCGGTTTGCCCTGAGTTTGAAGGCAGCCTGTGCTACATAGTATGTTCAAGGCCAGCTTGAATTAAACTATAGAGTTTTGGGGGTTTTTTGTTGTTGTTCCAGGGATGGAACTTGCCGAGCAGGTGCTCAAGCCACTGAACTATCTCCACAACCCCAAATTACACTATAGAGGAGGACTCTATCTCAACAAAACAAACAATAACAAAAAGTCTGAATGCCTATAAAATCTCTATTATTGAACTAAGTCTGTTAGTACATGCCTACAATGCCAGTTACTCAGAGGAAAGTTCCAGTCTGACCTGGGCTTTCTAGCAAGGCCCTGTCTCAAATTAAAAATGCGACTCAGTAGCTGGGTGTTGGCGGTGCATGCCTGTAACCCACACACTGGGGAAGCTGAGGCAGGAGAATCATTGTGAGCTCAAGGCCAACCTGAACTGCATAATGAAAGCTTGTCTGAAAAATAAAAGATATAGCTTAGCACATCCTGGCTTCAATCCCCAGTCCTGGAGAAAAAGTCTGCTACCACCAGCTTTTCTTCACTTATCTAGTATCTAGAGACTGCCCGTTCTCGCCACATGGTCCTTCCATCTCCCTTGTCCTCCAGATCTTAGAAGGAAACAAATACAGCATCCACTTAAAGGCACTTGCAACACTTGCTCTGTGACCGTTCAGACTCACGCACTGCTGTAGAGCCGTGGTAACTTGCTCACAGTGGCACAAGACTTTCAGTCACAATCAGCTCCTGAATGAAGACCCAGAGGCTGATTAACCCCCCTTCTCTCGCCTGTGCCACATGCTTGTGCCAAATGCCACCTCCTTCATGTTATATTTCTCTCCCCTTGACCAAACAGTCATCTCCTAAGGCCTCCTAGCCTGGCCCACAGCTGGCTCTACAGAGATGGGTTAGACTGTCGTCTGCCCAAGGAATACGTGGAATTGGGGCTGGGGTGTTTCTCCATAGGCTGACTGCGGAAGGAAGAGACACTTCATTCTTGACCTCAGGAAGGACTAGGGAAATAGTTGA